AGCAGAGTAGCTGAAGACAAGCTCTCCAATCAGCACAAGCAGCAGTACTTTTGGGAATATTCAACTGCACAAAGGACTAGAGGGCCAAAGGGTCAGATACTCAATTACAAAACAATATAGGGATCCAGCTAAAGCTTATTAGCTAGGCATAGCCACAGACAATGGAATTAGATTCCTAAGTGCCTTAATGATTTCTGAAAAGGGATCTAGAGTATTTCACTATTTGATCCTACAACTAAAGTTCCTCTCTTTCCACAGCCAGCAAACAGAACAGAAACATACAGCTCACATTCACAAAGTTTACTTGAGGGAAGAGAAGGGAATGAACCCGTCCACCAACCTGTCATGTGAACTCCACGATCCTTGCCATAAAGAACTATTTGCATAACTCAGATCTAAAGTCAGATTTCCTCAAAACTCCCTACTGAAGGGGTAGTATCCCACTCTGGGACAGGATACTATCCCCTCGCCTTACACCACAAAAACACACAGTAAGGGTGTAAAGCACAAGCAGTGTAACATGAAAGCCAGGAAGGCAAGGGGAACAAATCCAGTTTGAGGCAAAGTTACTGGAACTGACAGTTGGGAAACAGTCAAAAGCTCAGAGATGCATCAAAGAAGGGATCACTCTAAGAATCACCTACAGACACACTCCTTCTCTGTGGAGGTTAGGTTTCTCACATTTCCTGTTTTCCAGATTGGAAATTGAGCTTTTCAGGTTCTTTGCCCCTGGTGAACTCAGGAGCTGCACAGCTACACAGAGTCACATTCACAAGAAAAATTTTCAAAGCATCTTCCCAACCTCAAAGAACAACTTTGAAGTGGAGGCAGGTTCAAATCAGCCTTGCATGAAGGCTTGAGTTGGTTCTTATTTTATCTCTGGTCCATGACGGTAATTATCACCTCCAACTTGAAAAGAAGCAGCTAACAGATTGGCCTGTATCACAGAGGAAGAGGGAATTAATTAAGCGGTTGCTAATTACATCGTAATCTTAAATACTAAATTAGTATTACGATGATCCTGATAGGCAACTCTGACATTGCCAAATCCCTGCTGCTGTCTGAGACATATTCCAGCTACTGCACAGAACATTACTTCCACGTACCCAAAACAGCTGGGATGCCCTCAAAGAAATATGGCAAATGCACAACTGCTCTGCCAGGTTTCTAATTTTACCAGAAAAGAGAAACTGTCTGCAGCACAATGTTGTCCAGGCCACTGACTTTGTTCTCATCCAAGACTAGTGCTGTCATTCATGTTACAGTGTAAGACTGAATCTCGGAGACATAAAAAGACCGACAAGATCAACCAGTCCCTCTCCTTACAAATGCCAGATTATTTCTTTAACTGACCTGGTATCCAGTCCAGTGTTAAATGTCCCAAAGACTTGGGCTTCCACTTAGTATCAATGAATTCTCAACACCTTACACTCTTCCACCATGCCTAAACTATCCTCAGATCTCACCAGGTCACGGCACAGTGTTCCCTCTGAATAGCTGTCTACCCACACATAAGCAAGAGCCAGTTCCCTAAACCAAGGCTCAGGAAGAAATTTTCTGCTAGTGCACTCCATCAAGTTTCTTAGGAAAGTCTGCAAAGGACTACTGAACCAGTAAGCTTAAAAGACAAGCAGACTCAAATCTTTCTAATCAAACTCAGAAGAAATCTGTCCAGACTCTCATAGTTCTAGGTCAGGTTTCTTGACCTCCGTGTGTTCTTTCCTCCAGGCTTTTGTTTTGTTTTGTTTGGCACATCATAACTTGTCTTAAATTTTTGTGTCTGCGGCTGCTGAACTTAGCTCTGGAGGATTACAGCTTCTTAACTACAGCTTGCTTTTGCCTGGCTGCAGTCCAATCACTGAATCGAGCACTGGACCACTGAATCAAGATAAGAAGCCTAGATTGAAGGAAGGATGCTTTAGGTCCACGTACATGTCACCAATATCCAAAGTCGCTTGTTTGCTAGAGAGACTCAGCTTTCATTTACAAAAAGAGCCAGCCTGAGAAGCTGAGCTTCTTAGAAATGACCATGTCTAATTGCTCTATTGGCTTCACCCAGTCTATGGCTAAGGAATGAGAGCAGTCTGGGCTGCCAGTGCTCAGGTGGGAGCTGACCTCTGCCTTTCCAACAAGGAGCAGATCCCAGGCTGGGAAGGCAAAGGTCACTGGTGCAGCAGGACTAAAGAAGCAACCTAACCACATACAGTGTTACATAGTAGGGGGAACAGAATTCAGAGAGACAGAAAATTCATGTTTGAAAAGTATACAGACACAGAGATAACACATGCCACCATCACCCACAGAACACAGAACATTGGCAGCATGTTTTTGGGGGTCACTGCTTGCAGCTATGGGTGCAAAAGCCTCTAGTGCATTTAAGAGCAAGGCCAGGGAAGTGCTCTACAGCCAATGACTTGTGATTTCCCTGAAGGCAAAGGACATGAAAGTCAAGTATGTCTTTAGATTCACCAGCATCTAAAACAAAGAAAATCCCCCTTACCCTACTTCCTGTTGATCAGGAAAGTAATCTCTCACCGTCACTCAAAACACAGAACAACTGCACAGCTTCATCAGTGCACAGTTCTAACTTATTTTTGTTTTAAACAGAAGACAGCCACAAAAACCAAAAGCTTCATGTGCGATTGAGAAACACTGGTCAAGCAGTCAGAACTCAAGAGCAGACTGGAAAGCCCAAACAGCCTGCATAGTAGATTCCTCTACAGCCACAATAAGCTGCGTTCCTTCTCCATGCCTCAGTTTCCTGCACAGTAGAAGGGAGAGAACTGTTCCCTGCCTCCAGGCAGCACTGCCTTATGGTCAGAGACAGAGAACAAGCTTCGCACTTATTTAGCACTCATTAGCTAAGGAGGAAAGATTACAGTTTGTATTTCTGCCCTCATCCTTTCAAAATAAACACTCATTTTTCACAATAGTTCATGGTGCAGCTTGCACACATAGATGGCACAGCACCTGAGCCAACCCAGAGCTTGTTTCCTACAGCATCTGCCCTCAGGAGCTGACTCCCTGTAAAACTCATTAATGTGGTGCTTGGAAGTCCTAGAATACGCAGACAGACAGCTGCTTACCACTGGGGTTCCTGTAAACAACGGACACAGTGGCCTGAAGTGACAGATGTATAATGCAAGTGAGGTACAGAGAGACTGATACCCACTCCAAAGACCCTGCTCTCCTTGTTCCTGGCTGCTCATGGATCTATCAGTGAATGCCCTCAAGGAGAAGGCAGCAACTTGTTTGGCTGGTAGTCTCCACTCTCAGGTTTTCTGGAGCAGTGACCAACACAAGGGTGAAATAGCGGTGACACTAGGCAGATGTGTTTCTTCTATGAATCTGGAAACCGATCCCATCTCAGAAGTACATCATCTCCCATCCTCACTTTACCCTTGCTTTGAGAATGATCCTCAAAATACCTGCTCTCCTCTCCCCAAATGTAAGGGTCATAGGGCAACAGTTACCACAGCATATCAATACAACAACCACGACCCTTAAAACAAAATGTTCCAATGTAAAAAAATGGCATAAGCAGACAGGATGGTTTGAACCAGGTCACTGTTAAAGGCAGCAGGACACCGTACCTGGGCGACTGATCTTGAAGAGTGGCTGATGAAGACATGGGCCCAAAGTGAGCCCTTGCTCTGAAAGTTCTTCCTTATCCAGGGAAGCAGACACAGTTCCCTACAGTCCAGTACCCA